CACCCCACCCCCACCCGGCTATTTTGCTGCAGCCGGGCTGCGGCAAGGCCTCACACAGGCTAAGCATGTGCTTTACCACTGAGCAGCACGACCCCCACGCCCTTCATAACATTGAGGCTGTTTTAAAGTTCTGTGAGATGATGACTTTGAAACAAAGTTCGAAAAAGGGAAGGAGAGGTTGTGATGGTTTCTGTTTTAAGAACGAGGGGCTGAAACATCTGGAAAAGTGTTTTTTTGCAGATGTTCTGCAGCATAGGTACCAACAGGTGCAGATATGGCAGCTGTCCACTGGGAACCCAAAACCTAGCTGGCACGAGTTCCCCGAGAGGCTGTCCCAGGCCAGTATGAGTGGGGCCCTCGTGGCCTTTGGTGTTTAACTGAAGAGTGTGACAGCAGACAGGACGATGTGTCCTACCTGTGGCATGAGAGGCTCGCCTGTCCAAGCCGAGCTCCCAGGGGTGGCCTGAGCTGGGCCCTGATGGGTGTGCTCTCGGGGTCCTTGATGAGCAGTAAGTTGGGCGCAGTTAATCCACTTCCTGCCCCCCCCACCCCCGTCCCACACTTGGCCAATCAAACCAGAAGCAGGGCTCCTTCAGCACAGAGGCAAGTCCCCCAGCCCCCCAAAAAAGGGAAGTTCTTCCCTATTTGGTCTTATTTTTAATCAAATGTACAGCATGTGTCACTTGACGCTGGGGATGTGTTCTGAGGAAACGAGCCACTGGGTGAGTCCGGTGTTATGCGGGCACCTAGCATGTACTTGCATAAGCCTGCATAGTGCAGCCCATGACACACGGGCGTGTGCTGCACCCCGTCATTTATGGGGACCGTCGTGGATGGAAAAGCCCTTACACGGTGCACAACTATACTTGTTTATCCTAAGCTCAGAAAACTGGTTGATTGCCTTACATTTTGTGGTGAGGCCAAACAGGGAGAAAATAAGGTTTATAAGCTTGGGGCTATTTGTGTTTCTCGTTAGAGAGAAATTGCTCATAAAAAGAATAATTTTTACCTTCGGGAAAATTAGAAGTGATGGGAAGCATTTTCTTGATTTTGGATAAACATTATAAAAGGATCCAGGCACAGAGCAAGAGCAGGCTCAGGTTGACCAAAATGGGTCCTTTTATTCCTCTGATGTTCTCTGGGGCGATGGCCCAAGACCCTTTTCCAATCCCAAATTTGTAATTATCACCTTGGCCCTAACTAAGCTCCCTTCCTACTTCAGTAAAATGAGATGATCAGTTTTTAGCCCACAGAGTGACATGGGGAAGATTAACTGAGGTCATATGTGACAGAGCCAAGGCAAGTGCCGTGTCCACCTGGCTGGTCATCCAGGCTCACTCACTGTCCCCCCTCGTCCCATAGGGCAGACCCCATGAAGGCCAAAGCTTCAGTGACATGACCAGTTCCTCGCTTGGGAACCTTCAGAGGTCTCCAAGCCATCAAAGCCATGAGTCTAAAATCCTCAGAGTCCCCTTTGTGTTCTCATTCTCCAGTTTATTTTCTGAACAAGAATATGAGATGGAAAATCAGGCTCTGGATTTATAAATCCTTACTGAGTACAGAAGGAAAACAGAATCACTGGTGTAATTAGCTTTAGCACACAAATTCTGAATGTATGAAAAAATCTTTTCATCTAGTGAACTACAGCTAAGTTAGACCTAGAGTTCCCCTGTTGCTTCATGCTCGGTATCTAGCAAACCTGTAAATTTCCTTCCTTCTGTCTGTGTTTGTGTCATGTGCATTCCTGTTGTGTCAAAGATTGCAGGCCGTTTCCTCTAAAGAGTTTGTCCAGACGGGGCTCAAAGTTAATTTCCTGCTAGCACAGCAGTCCATACCCTAAGCAGTCAGGGGTGGAAATCTCCACGAAAATCCTGCCAGCTGTAGAACTCGGGATGGGGAAGTCACACACCTGACCACCTTTCCCAGCCTCCGCTATCACACAGCAATGTGATCGTATAGATCAGAGTTGTGGTCGATTCCCTAGCAAGTCCACTTTCTGCAAATGACAACACAGTAGTGTAAAGAGCTCCCTTTTGAGTAGCATAGAATGTATGCGGTGCACAGATTTCTCTCCTTTCTATTTTTGGAAACTGGAAAGTGTTTGTGTGTGTGGGTGCCCGTGTGGTGCCAGGGATTCAACCCAGGGTCTCATGCATGCTAAGCACGCACTGCACCACTGAGCTACATCCCCAGCCCTGAAAAGCATCTTCTGAGGCATTAATCAACTCAGAGGGAACTGCATTTTATAAATCGGTTCCCTCTGAGTTGCCGAAGTTCGACATGTAATACCCTAAATACCAGGGTGAGAATAAGTGAGGATCACAGGGTTCTTTCTAATTCTAGTCTATGATGTCATCGATTCTGGAATTGATAGCAGGCCCTTCTTTTCCAGCTGTGGAAGAATTACAGCCAAACAATTTCAGTGAAATGACAGCTGACAATGATTTACAAAAAATATGTGTCAAGTCTAAAGCAAGTCAAAAGCCACAGCAAAACCTCATTCACACATAGAAAAACAACGAGAAGAAAATGTGTTCGGATGCTGAGAGGAGCAAAAAGCCTGAGTTTAGAAGGGGATGATTGTTTTTTCCTCTCCATACTTTCTGGGCATTACAAATGTGTTGCACCATCACTATTATGTTATAAAATAATAGTGAGGAAATAGCCCACTTTATTTCTAAAAAAGGCTTGGTGTGACACTGGGACAAAAACAGAAGACTGAAGCATGGTAATAGCTGGGCCTGAAGCAGGTCTGCCTGCGTGCCTTAGGTGCTTCTCAAGATAGAAAAGGCATCTGGGTAGCTGATTGGATTTTCTGAAACTTGGATCACAG